CCGGCTACGCTGGTTTGTCAATATTATCGTGCTGCTCGCCGATCCAAGTGCTGTGGGTATTCTTGTCGTCGTGCTGCGGCTCGCCCACCCGCCTCTTCTCGCGGTCCCTCTCGCACGGGGGCGGCCGCGTTTTGGGGTCCGACAGCGAGCCTCTCGCCACCGCGAGCTTCACGATTGCTGTGCCGATCGCGTTGGTCTGGTGCTACGTGATCTCTATGCCCTCCAGCCTCTCCATTTCCTCGTGCATGTTGGCCATCTCGCGTGACTTGCACGCGACCAGGCTCGTGGTGGGCCTTCTTTTTGGCCCTGCGGAGCCCTGGTGTTGAAACCTGAATCCACCGCCTGCTTGTTAAGGATCAGGTCGCAACGCTATATCGTCTCGTTGGGGCGGCGCAAAATGCGCGCGCTGCCCCCCGCCGCCTGCATGTCTTCGGGCCCTGCCACGGCCCACGGTTGGAGAGCTCATCCTCGCCATGTAGTGCATGATGCATCGCCGTGGCGGTCGTGCTGTAGAGATTGCAGGCCAAAAACTGTGAGCCAGTGGCTACGGACGCGTAGTCCGTGTTTCGGAACGCCCGTCCCGATTCAGGGCGATAACGGGCTTTATGGGGGGCCTCGGGGGGTATGCAATAACGCCCCCCCCCCCGCCGTGCAGTTCCAGCGCCGCCGCAGCGTCCGCGCGCACGACGACGACGATTATGACGACGACGAACGACGACAACGACGACGACGACGACGATTACGAGCGACCACGACGGCGACGAGAACGACCACGACGACGACGACGAGAACGACAACGACGATGACGAGCGACCACGACGACGACGATGACAACGATGACAACGACGACGAGCGACGACGACGATGACGACGACGACGACGAGCGACGACGACGACGAAGGCGACGACGACGAGCGACGCCTCTGGATGTCCCCCGGGTTCCCCGAAGCTTCCAAAGGCCCCCTGAAACATGTGAAAACATCCAAACACCGACTGGAAATCATCCGAATGCTCCAGAAGCCCTCGAAAGCATCCGAAGGCGTTTGACAACGACGAACGACCGCGAGCGACGACGAGCGACGACAACGACAACGACGACGACGAAGATAACGACGACGACTACGACGATGAGAACCGACGACGACGACGACGACGAGAGCAAGCGACCACGATGACAACGACGAAGACGACGAGCGACGACGCGACGAGCGACGACGACGACAAGCGACGACGACGACGAGCGACAACGACGACGACGACCACCACAACGACGATGACGGCCACGACGACAAACGACGACGACAAGCGACGACGACGAGCGACGCCTCTGAATGTGTCCCCGGTTTTCCCGAAGCCCTCGGAAGCCTCCTGAAGCGTCTGGAAGCTCACGAGAACATGTTGGAAATCATTTGAAGGCTCCAGAAGCCCCCGGAAGCAGACGAAGGCTCTTGAAAACGACGAACGACCGCGAGCGACGACGAACGACCACAACGACAACGACGACGCAAAAGATAACGACGACGACTACGACCACGACGACCGACGACGACGACGAAGAGCGACGACGATGACGACGACGACGACGAAGAGCGACGACCGACGACGACGACGAGCGACGACGAACGACGACGACGATCACCGTCAACGAAGAGCGACGAAGAGTTGTGGCGAGCGCGTGCCTGCGAAGGCGTCGTTGCCTCCACGGGGCGTATAAAGAGGCACGGTCCTTACCTCCCTCCTCCATCCTCGTCGTCGTCGCCTTTGGCCTCCAGTTGCTCTCTCTCTCTCTCTCTCTCTCTCTCTCTCTCTCTCTCTCCTACGAACACTTCAAGTGCATGAGAGCACCGAACTTGCCCGCGACCGCCGCCCCTATGCGGATCTCTGCGCGGATCCTTATAAAAAAGGGCCCCTCTGGAGATCCCTGTGCGCATCCCTCTGCGGGCGCCGATGCGGATCCCCGTGGATTCCAATGCGGATGCCTCTGCGGATCCTTCTTCGGGTCCCCTTGCGGATCCCGATGCGCACTGGGGGCTGGAGCGTTACGTTATGGGGGGGGGGGGGGGGGCGGGGTGGGCATGGCGCGCGTTATGGCCCGCGCAATAAAAAAACACTGTCTTGCAGCGTCCAATCGGGGCCCTATTAGTATCCGGCGTCGGTTGTTCCTAGGAAAAGCGTCGCAGGAGGGGTGATTCATGTTGCCCTTTGGGGGTCTCTCGACATCTTTAGGCGTCCCAAGAACAGTTGCCGCGTCAACTGAACTCGCCGCGCACGCGCGCGTCTTTCCCGCCGTAGTCTATGGAAGGGGGGGATGGGGGAGGAGGAGAGGGCCTATGCGGAAATTCCATGGTTGGATCACACTCGCAATGTCGCAATAGTTCCGTCGGTGACGGTCGTTATCTTTCTGTTTCTGGTGTTCCGCCTCCGTTTGCACTTTGGCAAGTCTTCCTCCTGCTCCCCTACCCCTCTTGCTAGTAGCTCCAACGCTTGTCTTTCAGAGTCT